TTCAGGGTTTAGGGTTTAGGTTTCAGGGTTCAGGGTTTAGGGTTTGGAGTTAAGGGGGCTTCTTGAAGGTCGGGTCCAGGGTTTAGGGTTTAGGGTTCAGGGTTTAGGGTTCAGGGTTAAAGGTTTAGGGTTTAGGGTTTAGGGATTTTTTGGGGTTGTGGACATTTCGTTGCATTGTTGCAACGGGCCTCACGAGTCTACTGCGAATCAAAGCTGACCAAATCATCGCTGGAATCAACGCGTGAGCGGAAAAGGGAGGAAACATGCTGTTATTGGGGCATCAATTGCCGGGGATATGCCATCTCAGCATGGAGCTATGCAATCAAGAGGCTTCATGCTAACGGTGCAGCTTAGACAAGAAATACTCTGTTAAACCTGGTCCTATCATGGGTATGCTTAGTCCCCCCAGCTTCAACGACTGCCTCTAATATGAACCTACATACTGCTTGAAGTGAAGCAGAGAATATGAGAGCCCTTCTCATCTCTACGACGCCGCTGTTGACAGGTTGAGCAGGAGGAGTGAGAATTGTCAGGATGGAGCGGCCGGAGAGAGTCGAGAAACTATCTCAACCCTGAAAAAACCGAAACACGAGTTCCTTGTGCAGTTCCTCAAAGGAGCCTTTATCTCCAACGAGCTGCTACATTTCGGCTGTAGGCTTACCTATGAACACTCGTGCTCATGTCAATGGGTCCTGCAAGGAGACAACGCCTCAACCGCCAGTGTATAATAGAGACATCTGAAGAATTAGATTGCATATTGCACCGTACGTAACACTACTCCTAAGTAGACCGTGCCTCCCCAGCACACAAACAACATGAGCTAATCCTATACCCAAACTCGCAGACACTCCTGAAAAGCAACAGGAAGGCTGCCTGTGCAAACCAAATGTCCTGTCGCATGTACAAACCAGTTAATGTAGGGAACGCGAAATGTAGGTTTGTTAGGGTCCACGTGGATCACACTTGAACGGCGCTGCCTCAATGTCTCGCACTCGTCTGCCCGCCGGCTTGGGCGGAGTGTCTACGAAAATGAACCTGGCAACATCATTGGACATGGGATTCGCTTACTGGCGTGTTCATGCATCACAACGAAGCCAGTGGGTCCAGGGAGCTCAGAATGATTAGAATCATGAAGGTGCCTCAATAATTAGAATAGGGTTTGGGGGCCCACTATACTATAACTATATAACGAACCCCCAAAAAATCATATTGGTAAGTATTTAGGCCTCAGTATTAGGGCTCTGGGGTATGATATGGTATAATCTTTCAGGCTTCTCTACTAAAATCCTGACAAATCTGTTTCAAGAAACCTTGAGAACCCTCAACGAATTAACTAGGTGTCTATCCCTAAGAGTCCATGTACTCAGGCCCCAAAGTACCTATCTATGGACTACTTTAAGGGCCAATCTATATGCTATTTGGGTACATGGACCCTTAGGGTATCTGTTAGAGTCAGAGCTTCCCTGGAATTACTTGGGGACCTCGACCTGATACTGAGTTCGTGTGGGTTTGTCATATGAGCTTGGAAGTGTAGAACGCGACGGTTTAGGGTTTAGGGTTTAGGGTTTAGGGTTTAGGGGCCTAAATGATTATCAGTACAAGATTTGGGGTTCCTTATTATAATTGTAATATAGTAACCCCCAAACCCCATTTAAGGCCCCTATATTGGACCTTGATTGTTGGGGATTTGGGGGGTTTGGGATTGAGGATAACCGCAGAATCGTATAGGGTTTAGGGTTTAGGGTTTAGGGTTTAGGGTTTAAGGGTTTAGGGTTTAGGATCGAATAGTGGAGCGAAGAGCTTGCCCAGAGAGGCGCAGGGCTTATCTGAAAGCCTAAACCCTGAGGGTCCATGTACCCAAATAGTATTTGAAGGGTTTAGGGTTTAGGGTTGAGGGTTGAGGGTTTAGGGTTGAGGGTGTAGGGTTTATGAAGGGTTTAGGTATATACTTGGGGCCCCAAGTACCTGTATAGGGACTACTTTAAGGCCAAAGTACATACTTTCTGGGCACATGGACCCTTAGGGAAAGAACCTACCTTTTCAGGGCTCCTTGTCTTAATTTTCTTATAAAAGTCCTGAATTAAGACGGTAGGTTCTTCAGGGTCCAGGTAGGGCTTTGGCAAACCTTTTCCGTGGAGCCTGAACTTGTAAATCCTCATTAGAATCCTTATTTAATCTGCAGGCTTTAATCTTCAAGGGGTTGCAGTTTTTTGCCTAGATTACCAGGCCAGGAACTACAGGCTAGTCTTTGGAATTTCGGGGATTATGTAATAAGGGCTACCTACTTTACAACTGAGAGCATTCGTCCTCAAACCCCAGACCAAAAAAACATTCCGTCGCCAAGGTCCGCCTGAACACACCCGCTAAAGAGTGCCAGCAAAGCTGCCTTTAGGCTTTAGGATATTTATAACCCTAACCCTCCAGGTACCTACTATATAGGGTACTAGAGCCCCTAGGGCCCTATATGGTGGCACCTGGAGGGTTAGGGAAAGCTGCCTTTAGGCTTTAGGATATTCTGGGCTTGATCTTGAGCCCACGAAATCTGCTGACCAGTAGTAGAGTCTCGATCGTTCTAGGTCATGAAGAACTGCTACGGAAGTAGTCATCTTTGGTCACACCCTCTACCGGGGACCCTGGACACACTACGCTTTTAGAGCTTCATATTCTGCTTTCCTCGTGTAATTCCTCATAAGGCAGGGGCCGTAGGGGTTTCATATCAAGACCACGCCTTCCCCACGAAAGTGGACGCGACACCTGCGAGTTTTTCTCGATCACCGACCGCTTGTCCCTTCAAACCCGCTGGTATACTGGTCGAAACCCTAAACCCTAAAACCTAAACCCTCGGCGAGAATTCCCGGCGTCCAGTCCCTGGCCGTGTGTGGAGGGTCTCGACCAAAAGCCATGGCCTGGGGGCTTTCGCTTGGGAATGCTGTCTAGCCACTCTCGCTCATTCAAGTCTTTCCGATACACAAAATGCTTCCCAGAGTCCGTGGCCTCAAAGCAATAGTACGTGAAAAGGTTGTTTATCCAGACAGCCTTCGTGCCCATGTTCAGGAAGCCACGGCCGTTCTCGGCAAAGTGCAGAGCAACAATGCCTTCGCACTCCTTTCTGGTTAAGGGCTTAGGGTCTATATAGGGTATATCGAGGGCCCTTTTCAAGCTAGGCGTGCCGTCGTCGCGACATGGTACACAGCAAACATACCCTAAGCGCTGTACTTATCTGAAACCTGACTATGTATGCCCTCAACCCTAGACCCCCCTATACCTGTACAACCCTCCCTATAATAACTATAGTCTCCATTGTAGTTCCGTGTTGGGGGTTACCCTACTGTAGGATCATCAAAAGATAACTGGCTAAACCCAAGGCAGGAACTACAACGGAGACTATAAGTAAAACTAAACCTTCAACCCTAAACCCCAAACCCCGGACCCCAAACCCTGAACCCCAGACCCTAAACCCCAAACCCTGAACCCTAAACCCCAAACCCTAAACCCCTAAATCCCCAAACCCCAAACCCAAAACCGGTAAACTTTCTGCGAGTCGCAGGGGACCGGGTTGTTTTGTAAGTCCCCAGCACCAGTATCAACAAATCTTAGAGCAGACCCTAAGCTAGAGAACCACCCAAAAGGATCCATCAGAGGAATCCTGCGAAAAGGGCCCTCCTCATCCGAGCCCCTAGGGAAACAACATGAACTTGAAGGGTCTACCTTACCCTAAGGCTGCATGTACCCATATAGTATATACTTAGGACCTCTCGGTGTTCCTATACAAGTGCTTTAAGGCCTATGTATATACCATGAAGGTACATGGAGCCTTTGGGTTAAAGCCTGAACCAATAAGTCGGAACCCAACCCTCCTATTCCTCGACGGCCTGCCCGGGTTCCGCCCGGCCTCAACAAACGGGTTTGGGGTTGGGGGTAACGCAGAAGCTTGAATATTTCGTCGAGGAGGGGTTGGAAGGTCTACTGTCCGAGAACAATCCCTAAGGGTCCATGTACCCAAATAGTATATTCTTTGGCCCCAAAGTACCTATATAGGGACTACGTACTTTAAGGCCAAAGTATATACCAATTGGGTACATGGCCCCTCAGGGAATCTGAGGAGGCCCCCAGTAGGACGACTCGAGTTGAGTCGACTCGCTCTGGCACTGCCACGCATCACCGGAAAGAAGGAAGGGATCTGTGTTTATGGGGCTCAGGGCTTGGGGTTTTAGGATTCTGAGGCTTCCTCTAAGAGTTCTTATAGGCATAAGGGCTACAACAAGGGTTACTGTACGGGTTATCATAAGGATCCTCGGGCTAGGGTAGCGTAGTTTGGGGTACCAGGTCTGTGGTCGGAGTCTAGGCCGTGCGGCTGAGGGTTTGGGTTGAGGGTGCGGAGGGATCAACAGGGGAAGTATAAGTATCAAACAAACGACCCTTTATAAACCCTAAACCCGAAACCCTAAACCCAAAAACCCAAACCGTAAACTTAAAAAATTGAAAAGCATGCTGTAGCGAACCCCTGTACGTCTCCTTGCAAGCAAGGCGCCAGGGTGTAAACCTGCTTGAAGCCGGAGTCTTTTTCCTTGCGTCACAGACTTTCGCCGACTCAAGAGGAGGTCAGGGCCTACGGACGTTTAGGGTGTAGGATGTCGAGGTTTTAGGGTTGAGAAGGCCCATGGTTATTTAGGGCCTGTAGGGTTTAGGGTTGGGCCCACATCCTACACCCAAGACTTCAAATCCAAAGTCCGAGACATCCGAGACCTTAGAGTCCCTATGGGTGTACTGTAAAGGGCTTCGGTTTTAGAGTTTAGGGTTTAGGGCTTCAGGGCTTTAGGGCTTTAGGGTTTTAGGTTTAGGATTTAGAGTTTAGGGTTTTAGGGTTTAGGGTTTAGGCGTGTAGGATGTAGGGTTTATGGTTTTAGGCGGTTTACTATGCTTACTTGCCAAAACCCCATTTAAAAAAAAAAGCTAAGACCAGAAACCCTGAAGCTCCCACAAAACACCCAAAACCCTAAACCCTACGACCCCAAGCCCTAAACTCCCTGAAGCCTAATCCCAAACCCTCTGTGACCATGGCACACTCTGAAGTTCTCAAAACAGAGACACTTAGGGATGTTTTTGTTGACACTTTTTTCCGGTGTCTGGGGTTTGGGGTTTAGAAATTTAGGGTTTAGGGCTGACAAAAAATAGCTGACATGATAATGAGGCCGGAAGCTCGAGCTTCCGGTCTTTATGCAATATCAGTATCAATGAACTAGACCCCAATCCCCAACCCCCAATGCCCAAAACGCTGAAAAGCTCAAACCCTACAAAAAAACACCGAACAACCCTGAAACCCATAAAACCAAAAACACTAAAGCCCTAAACTTCCTCCATGGCTAAATCTCAGAGCCCCACGACCCATCAAATCTTGACGCGTGGCTGCTTGGGACTGAACCCAGGATGTCGCAGCACTCGGGTGCAGCAGCAACTCAGAAGGCGAATGAGTGACCTTAGCTGCACCTATGAGAGGCCTAAACCCTAAACCCTAAACCCAGAGGGTTGTAGGGTTTGGGGCTTAGGGTGACCTTAGCTGCACCTATGAGAGGCCTAGACCCAAAACCCTACACCCTAAACCCAGAGGGTTGTAGGGTTTGGGGCTTAGGGTGACCTTAGCTGCACCTGTCTGGAGTCTTGGGGTATGACAGGGTTTACGAGGATGAGCCGTAAACTTAACCCACATAGCCTAAACTCTAAACCCCCAAACCCTAAACTGGCCCTAAACCCTAAACCCTCGACTCCATATCAAAGCCCTAAACGGCCCTAGACTTTGAGCCTGAAGACCTCAACCCCTAAACCCCGAAACGCCCTCTATACTGGACTTGAGCAACGGTTTAGGGCTAAATCCTAAACCCCAAACCCCAAGAGACTAAGAATAAGTCAACCCTAAACCCTAAACCCTAAATCCTAAACCCCAAGAGATTAAGAATAGATCAACCCTAAACCCCAATCCCTAAACCCTAAACCCTAAATCCTAAACCCCAAGAGATTAAGATTAAGTCAAGTGGTCGAAGTCTTGAGGTCTACCTCG